GTGAGAAGAGGTGTGGTGATCTGTCCCTCAACTCCCTTCAGTATCAAAAAACATAACAAATGGGGTTAAGCTGTGGCTGCAGGTGGTGAGGACTCTGTTGATACCTCTCCTGGGGTGTGTGTTTTCCTCTGTCTCACCTTCAGGAATTACACTGTGCCTTCTCCACAGGGGAATGGGCTTTATCTACGCTGCCCTCCACTCTCCCAGCAACTGCTCTTGAACGGTGTGGACTAGGGCAGGCCTTCACCTTTTCCTCCCAATGACGTCCTGTACCCTCGCCTGGAGTCTAGGGTACAAAGACTCTGGGGGGAAGATGGGGATAATATGCTGAGATTGACCTGAGGAGACCATCTCTACACACACCAATGGCAGCTGCCCCAGGGCCTGCTTCCTCTTCCCGGGTCTGTCATCCTCTGGGAGGGAGGGGCAGTGCTCCAGTCTCCGGTGCCTACAACAGGTTTCTCTTTCTCAACACTGGCGATAACCAGTCTCCATACCACTGTTGCCTTTTTAAATCTCTTAATATTCTCATGCTGTGTTTGTTGTTGATTCCAATCTGATTATCACCAGGGCTGTGTGGGGAAATACTTCTAAATGCGCTCTCATCTTTCTTGCTCTTTTTTTCCCCCCTGATCTTATGTATGTATGATGCTAATCTCTTGTCTTTCAGTTTCTTCCTGCTCTTTTGTATCTTCCCTTCTTGTCTCTCCCCCTACCTTTTGTCTCTGGGTGTTTTGGGGCTTTTTTTTTTTTTTTTTTTTTTTTTGCCTTTTTTGTACAAAGATTAGTTTCAATGTAGTCTGTAGCTCCTTTGTAAACCAATTAAAAAAAAGTTTTTTTAATAAAAAGCCACGTCTCTGGTGTGTTGACAGGGTGGGAATGGGGAGAAATATGGTTGTAATTTCATATACTGAACCCAACAAAGGTTTCCAGGTACACCATTGTGCCGTCATACATGTTAATACAATTGCCCTACACTTAACTCCCAGGCAAACAATTTCATGACCATATCAATGTACTATGAGTACATAGAAATGTGGAGGACCAAGAGAAACGGGGCAGGCCCAACCTCTTTTTTTTTTTTTTTTTGGTGTGTATAAGCTTTTTATTTTGGAATACGTTTAAATTTAAAGGAAAGTTGCAAAGATAGTGCAGAGAGATTCCCTGTACTCCTTACCCAGTTTTTTTCTATTGTAAATATTCTGTGTTGTCAAATCTCAGAAACTGACACTGGTACATTCTATTAGCTAACCCCTAGGCTCTATGGGTTTCACACTTTCTCATTGATGTCGTCCTGTTCCAGAATCCATTCTGGGATGCTACATTGCCTTTAGCTGATACTCTTCCCAAGTCTCCTCTGGTCTGTGACAATTTCTTAGTCTTTTCTTATTTTTCATGATCTTGACAGTCTGGGAGTATTGGCCAAGTGTCTTGTAGAATATCCCCCAATCTGAATTTTTCTGATGTTTTGTCATTATTAGATTGAGCTTATAGGTTTTTGGAAGAAACACCACACAGGTGAAATGATGTGAAATGTCCTCATCACATCCTATCAAGGGTCATAGCCACATGACCCTACTGATGATAGTCTTCATCACTTGGTTAAGATAATGTTTGTCAGATTTCTCCACTGTTTTTCTTTCCCTGTTCTTTGGAAGCAAGTCACTAAATCTAGCCCACCCTTAATGGAGTTGGTAGGAATTAAGTTTCCCTTCCTAGTGGAAATAGTATCTATGTAGAGTATTTGGGATTCTGTGAGAAAACGGTCTTTTCTCCCCTCACTATTAATTTATATTGGTATGTACTCAATGTATATTTATTTTAGACCTGGTCTGTAATTCGGTACTATATTATTTTCATTGCTCAAACTGTCCCAGCTTTGACCATTGGGAGCTCTTTCAGGTTGACTCCTGTGTCTCTTTGATACATCTACATCCTTTTACTTTTTTGAGCACTTTTTAAAGAACTTTCTGAAGTACAAGATGCTTCATGTTTATCTTGTATTTTCCCTGTCCTAGCCTTAGGATCAGCCATTTCTCCAAGGACCCTTAGTTCTTTATTGGAGAATGGTATTTAGAAACTAAGATGTAGCCCCAACGTATTTTACAGCAATTAATACCAGTCTGTGTCTAACATGATCGAATCTAGATTATGGCCCCATCTGAAACTGAAATTGAAGTTATTCTGACAGTCTTTCCACTTCCCAACAGCCTATGGCTTCACTTCCCTTCCTACCTATCCAAGAATCCTTGGTCACTTGTTTATACTGTGGCTACCAGCATTCTCAGTCAATTGTGTTCATTTGACTACCTTTGCTTTGTCAGTCACTCAGCCATGGCTAAACTCAGCCATTGGATTTCCTTATGTAGCCACTAGCGATACAACATTTTAACATTTGACTTTAATGGTGTGGGGGAAGATTTTTTGGTTTTGGGCTCTTGTTTTGGTTTTGTAGCTCTAAATGGGCCTTTAATATTTGTGTCATCTATGCATTCAGTAAACATGTATTGGGCCCTTACTGTGTCCTGGGTACTAACCTAGTTTGAGGATAAAAAATGACAGGTCCTGCCATCAAGTACTTCATAGTCAGGTGAAAGAGAGACACCATTAATTGCAGGTTTCCCAATCCTGACCCCATTTTTTTAGCAGATGATTTACTTCCTATTACACGGAGATGATGAATTTCTTTACTTCCCTTTCCCTACATTTATATAGTCACTGATACTAGTTTACCTCCTTATCTTTTCTTGGGAGTGAAACAGTTTGCCTTTGCAAGGCCAGCACTACCATTTGTGCACTCAACCTCACTTGTTTTGATGATATTTTCCCCTTTCATCTTCAGTCTCTCCTGGGTTCCCTTTTGTCACCCTGTAAGCATGTTATCTGTCCCTCTGTCCTTCTGCTTCCACTTGTGAACTTCAGATCTAGTCTCTTTTGATTGCCACAGTTAGTGCAAGTAGTTTACACTTAGTTCTTCTCTTTTATTCACCCCTCAGTCCACTTTGTTCAGCACCTATCATTTACGAAATTGTTTCTTAGAAACGTCAGCGATCTGGTTGCCAGCTCCAGTGGTCTTTCAGTCCTTTGCCTCTTAGACCTTACTAAGAAGCAACCATGTGCATCTCAGAGCTCTGGTCCCTTGGAGTGTGGGGCTAATAACTCCTCGTTCTCCTTCAGCCTTTCTTACTCTTTGTCTCCTTCATAGCTACTTCTGTCCCTTAAATGTTGGTGTCCCTGTTGTGTGTCCTTTCCCTTACTCTTGCCTTTCACCCCCTTAAACAAGTTGTATCCATCCACTCTTCAGCTATCCCAAATTTTAAGCCCAACCTTTTCTCTCAACCTGGCAGACTGCTTACAGGACATTTTCATCTGGATGTCCCACAGATAACTCAAAATGAACATGTAAGACGAGGAAATAATCCTTTATATTCCCCATCCCACTTAACAGTGTTACTACCCCTTGATCATTTATACTTGAAACCTCAGAATCATCTTTCAATTCTCTTTCAAATACCAACATTCATTTGATTACCAATCCTGTCAATATTACCAATATAGTGTATCTCAACTTTATCTCTTTTTATTTCCACTGTTCTAGTACCTTGGCTAGTGCTCAGGTCTCATAACTGATCTCCCTGCTTCTAGTCTCCCCGAGCCAATCATCCATCTTCCGCACTGCCACCAAATCCCTCCCTAAAATTTTTTCCTTTTAGGAGAAGTCTAGTCTCCTTGATAGAAACTTGAAAACCTTTCCAATCTAGGGTGCTTTTCTTCTTCATATCTCATACCCCTTTCTCCTGCTTACTCTCCCTGCCCGCAACACACACCCTCTAGGTACTTTTCTTCCCTTGTCTGCCCTGGACAGAATTAACTTATTTGATCTTTCTCCTTATATAGCTCCTTGCCCATACCCCTAGTCTGACACGTAATTTTCTGGTTGCTTGTTGATGTATCTTCTTGCCTTTCTAGACTCTGAGATCCTGGAGGGCAGGAATCACACATCTCTTTGTAGACCCAGCACCTAGTGAAATTCCTTTTTAAGACTGAGACCTAAGGGCGCCTGGCTGGTTCAGTTGGAAGAGCACAAGACTCTTGATGTCAGGGTCGTGAGTTTGAGCCCCACCTTGGATGTAGGGATTACTTCAATTAAAAAAACAAAACAACAGAATAGATATTTCTGAGTTAAGTGAATAAACAACTCACTTTAGCCCTATAGACATGGGGGTCACAGGTAACTTACTGGGCCACTGCAGACTTGAATCGGGATCCTGATGAAGATCTTTGTGTATGTGGAATCCAGGGAGACTTTATTTCTATACTGAGGTTCTTTCTCAGGACCTTCCTAATCCCTCAGCTCTCAGATTCTTACCCCTTCTATCACCACCTCACCTCATAAACCTGGCTGGAATGTTTCTGTCTTTGAAAAGGAGTAGTTATCCAAGGCTTTGGGTGAGGAGACTGCCTTCCTGCTTGATCCTTGCCTTGTTCCCCTCTGGAGGAGGTAGTCTCCTGAGACACTCCAGACACAAGAAGTTATTTGATCTTCAGCTCCTGCCTGCCCACCTCCCCACTCCCACCTCCAGACTTATCTGATCTGGGAGCTGGTGAAGGAAGATCGCTGTAACTAAGTACAACATTCCATCTCACTGGCAGGGCACTGCAGACTCCAGAAGGTCGGAGGGAGGGATGGGCAGCTGTCTATCTGCCTCTGGCCCTCGTCATTCCTCCAGTTGCTCTTTCACAACTACTGGAGCTTTTACTCTTTCCTTCCTTCATGCAGCGTCCCCAGGAGAAAGGCTCCAGAATCAAAGAGTTGGGGCACCTGGGTGGCTCGGTTGGGTAAGGTGTCCGACTTCAGCTCAGGTCATGATCTCCCGGTTCGTGAGTTTGAGCCCCACATTGGGCTCTCTGCTGTCAGTGCAGGGCCCGCTTTGGATCCTCTGCCTCTCTCTCTGCTACTCCCCTGCTTGTTCTCATTCTCTCTCTCTCTCTCTCTCTCTCTCTCTCTGTCACTCTGTCACTCTCAAAAATAAATAAAACATTAATAAATATATTAAAAAAAAAAAAAAAAGAGTTACAGCCTCATTCCTGGTCTAAGCCAGACCATTGCCAGAAAGGGTTTCTAGGCAGCCACCAGGGGGACAGAGGCTAGGAAAACAGGGAACCGGTCCCCTCTGACTCTAATTCTCATGGGAGCCAACTGCTCACAGATGTGGAAATGATTACCTATTACTGTAATGTCTTACTCTGGGGAAGAGTCTGGTGGAGCTGGACTCCTGTCTCCTATTGCACCACAAACCATAGACTTCTTCCATCTCCATGCTGACGTTCCCACTGTATACCCTGTGCTCTCCCTTCACGTTTTACAGTCTCTGCAGTTTAGTAGATACAGGAGATGTGATACTAGTCCTCAGAGGAGGCTGGCCCTTTTTGCCCCCAGGAAGCATCCTGAGTTTCTCCTATGTCTGCTGACCTCTGGTGGCGATAGTTTGAACTGGACCCTCCTTGTCTAGTTAGTGCCTGCTGGCAGGTAATGAATGGTGTACATTCTCTCAGCCATCCAAATTCAAATATTCAAACACTGTATCAAATGGAAATATTTTTTACTGCTGAATTTTTTGTTTTCAGGCCTCATGACATAATGTAAAGAACAGAGCCTGGGCTTTGGAATCAGACTTACCTAGGTTCAGGTCTAGCTCTGTTTCCTAGCAGAGTGACCTTGGGCAAGTTACCTAAGCTTAGCTTTCTTACCTGTAAAGTGAAAATAATAATAAATAGCTCAATCGGAAAATGAGATGATTGTAAAATGCATAGCCCTAGCTGTGCCATAGCACATAGGTGCTCAATAAAAGTTTGTTACCTTCTCAATAATAGTGATTTTGTTCAGTGTATGACTCCATATGATTTTAAAATTTTTGGTAACATAAAATTTACCATTATTCCCATTTTTCAATGTGACTTTTTTAAACTCTGAGAAGTTTTATATAACTGCTTTCTGATTCTTGAGTTTGGAAACTGAGGTCAACTTTAGTATGGACTGTGAAGACTGCCTCTGCCCAGAGAGCTACAGATCCGAGCCCTGAAAATAAGGGTTAGAGAGATCTTGGGCACAGCCAAATGGCTCAGTTGACCTCACTCTGGTTTCCAGCCTAAGAAGGACTGACAGGATCCAGCACTTTCTTCCAGGGTCAGCAAAGGGCAGAGGTCTGAAGTCAGGCATCACAGGGTTCACAGCTGGGCCTCCAAGACCCCCTTCTCCCACTTTGCAGAGAAAAGAGGAGGCGGCTGCAGAGAAGAGGATATGTGATTGCTTCTCTGCTCCTCCCTCTCCCTGCTTTTCCCTACACCCATCCTCTCCCCCACAGCAGCCATCTCCCCCGCAGCAACTGGAAAGAGGGAGGGGGGGCGGAGTTGGGGACTGAGGGATCAGAAGACCCACAGCGTCCTGTATCTGAACGAAGCTCTTGCTGGGGGCAGCTGTGCTGGTTCATGCTCCCCTCTCCATGCTGCTTGCCTCCTCCAGCATGATGCTGGGGACTCTGGGCCTTTGGGTACTCCTCCCCATAGCTGTGCAAGGTAAGTGTCTACAGGGTGGGGCAGGGCCTTTCCACTCGCCCATTGAGGGAAAGCGGGACTTGAAGCAGCAGCCATCCCTTTGGAAGAATCAGCGGGGTGGGTGAGTGAGGGCAAAAGGTACAGCCATGTGTCCCCATGGTGGGGTCAGGTTCCAGGCCTCTGCTGACCCTGTTTCCTCCTGTGGCTTTACCATGCTGGCCCTGGGATATGAAACATGTTCTGTCCCTTCTTTTGGCTGCTGCTTTTGCCCCTGCGTTCACTCCCATCTTGAACCCTCCCCTCTCCCCACCCTGGGCCACAGCACCCCCAAGCAGGCGGACCTGTGTGTTCTTTGAGGCCCCTGGAGTGCGGGGAAGCACAAAGACACTGGGGAAGCTGCTAGATGCAGGACCAGGGCCCCCCCAGGGTTATCCGCTGCCTCTACAGCCGCTGCTGTTTTGGGATCTGGAACCTGACCCAACACCAGGCACAGGTGGAGATGCAAGGTGAATGGCAAAGTATATAGCAGGTGATAGCTATGGTGGGAGACAGGTACATCCTGGGGTGGGGGGTTATAGCAGTGGGAGAGAAGGAGAAATGGAATGTGTGGAGGGAAAGAAAAGCCCATATGAGATGGAGGGGATGTCTTTGATAGAGGACGGGGTTACCCTCTCTGTTCCTAGACTCCATTATGCTCGCTCGCCCTCTCTCTCTCTCTCTCTCTCTCTCTCTCTCTCTCTCTTTCTCCCTTTCTCCCCTCTTGTAATTCCACCCCATCAGGATGCCGAGACAGTGATGAGCCAGACTGTGAGGCCTCCCACTGTGAGCTGAGCCCCCGAGCCCACCCTGGCCCCAGGTCCACTCTCTTCACCTGCTCCTGTGGCACTGACTTCTGCAATGCCAATTACAGCCATCTGCCTCCTCCAGGGAGCCCTGGGACTCCTGGCTCCCAGGGTCCCCAAGCTGTCCCAGGTAGCCCCTCAGGGTGCTGCGGCCTGGTGGGGGCTGGGGCCCAGGTTAGGATGAGAGGTAGAACCAGGGCCAGTTCTCACCCTACCCCCATCCTAAGTTTTCCTTCTCCTGGCCTTGAGAAGTTGGTTGCCCTGGTGACTGGGAGATAAGGGGCTTGTGACCAAGGTGGGGGTGGATCCAGAAGCAAGTTCTCTGAGGAGGGTGAGAGGAACAGAGCAGATTTGGGACAGGGCTCATCTAGGCTGCATTCTTGCCTTAATGTCCAGGCGAGTCCATCTGGATGGTGCTGGTGCTGCTGGGGCTATTCCTCCTCCTCCTGCTGCTGCTGGGCAGCATCATCTTGGGTACTAATCTACCCCATTCCTCCCTTGTGACCCCAAGTCACTGCCCCAAAGCTCTGACCCCTCTCCACGTTCCCCTGACCCCATGGTTCTGAGATCTCTACACCCTGAGCCCATTACCTCCCACAAAACCCCCTTCCCAGTCTCCATGACCGTGCACCCTGACACAAGGGCTTTTTTCTGCCCCAGCCCTGCTACGGCGAAAGGCCTGCAGAGTCCAAGGTGGCCCAGAGCCAGAGCCAGAGCCAGAGCCAGAGCCAGGCTCAGGCAGGGACTGGAGTGCTGAGCTGCCTGAGCTGCCCGAGCTGTGTTTCTCCCAGGTGCCCGGGGAGGGGTGGGGGAGGGTCCTCCAGTCACCCCCAGAAGGTGGTCTGGGGAGGAAGCCTGGCCCTGATGCTAGCTGAGACCCACCCCCGGCACCGTGTCCCCACTAGGTAATCTGGGAAGGAGGTCACACAGTGGTGTGGGCTGGGCAGCTGCAAGGCAAGCTGGTAGCCATCAAGGCCTTCTCCCTGAGGGCCGTGGCCCAGTTCCAAGCTGAGAGAGCACTATATGAACTGCCAAGCCTACAGCACGACCACATTGTCCGCTTTATCACCGCCAGCAGAGGGGGCCCTGGGCCCTTGCCCTGTGGGCCCCTGCTGGTACTGGAGCTGCACCCAAAGGTGAGGACCGAGGGACATCTCTATGTGTTTGCATGTGTGTGTATGTGGGTGCATGGCTGGATGGCAGCGGGGCCCTGCTCATGCTTATTCTTCTTCAGACTTCTTCTCCACATTAAAAAGGTTTTTTTGTTTTTTTCTTGGTTTTTTATTACACAAGCAATACTTGCTAATGTTTTTAACTCATAAAATACAAAGAAGAGGAGATTTCAAAACGATCATATTCCCATCCTTAAAGAAAACCATTGTTAAAGAAATATCTCAAGGCACGGCCCTCCAAACTCCTTTATATATTCATTCAACAAATATGTATGAACTATATGTCACACCTCCTGTGCTAAGAAAGACATCTTAGTCCCTGCCTTTGTAGACTTTATTTTATTATGTTTTAAGCTGTTTAAGTGTGTATTTATTTATATTGAGAGAAAGAGAGAGCATGAGCAGGGGAGGAACAGAAAGAGAGGGAGTGACAATCCCAAGCAGCCTCTGGTACCATCAGGCCGGAACCAATGTGGGGCTCGAACTCATGAACCATGAGACTGTGGCCTGAGCTGAAATCAAGAGTCAGGGGCTTAACTGACTGAGCCACCCAGGTGCCCCTGCCTTTGTAGATTTTAGAGAGTAGTGGGGGAGACAGAGTGGGTCAGGTAAACACAAAACAGTTTTGTCAAGCGCGTTACGTGCTGAGAGAGGGGGTACTGTGAGAGAAGAATAAGAAGAAGGACTTGGGACTTTATTAGCACCTGCAGTCCTCGATCTCTGACATCTTGAATTCTGGGAAGTCCCCTCTTTGTGCCTTAATGCCCAGCTCAAAAATCTCTGCTTTCTTGGTATTGTTTGTTTGTTTGACTTCCCTGGCACACTGATGGCACTTGGTAATGTTTGTTGAATGAGGGATGCTGTGACTCCTTTGCCTCCCAATTTCCACCTGCCCCCCACCTGCTGCTCTTCTGCCCAACAGCTGTCCCCATCCGCTGGCTATCCTATACAGGCCTGACACTTCAGGCCAGGAGGTTCACAAAAGGTACCAGTACCTAGTTTGCCTTGCCTCTTCTGTTTGTGTTTTTGTCTCAAGTCCCCAGGCAGTAGAAGGTGGTTACTAGTGAGCGACCCTAGAGTGAGACCGCTTGGGTTCAAGCTCTGGTTGTCTCTCACCAGGTGACTTCCAGCAAGTTTACCTAGCTCTCTTTCAAGCTCCTCATTGGTGAAACGTGAATCACAGGAGCACACGCCTCCTAGGGTTGTTGTGAGGATTACGGGAGGGCTGGCACATCGTAAGAGCTCAGACATTTGAAGTAGGGTTACTGTTTTTCCAGTCAATCTGACTGATGCACATTCTCACTCCTCCACCGCCTCTTGTCTCAGCCTGGATGGATCAGTGTGTCAGTCTGCTGGGGGAGGCAGGGGGATGTCTGTCAATTGATCTCTGCTCCCTGGGGTAGATCAGCCACCTCCAGCTTATCATGTGTCTTCCTCTTCTCTCTGCTTCTCCCTAGGGCTCCCTGTGCCACTACTTGACCCAGCACACCAGTGACTGGGGAAGTTCCATGCGGATGGCGCTGTCCCTGGCGCGGGGCCTGGCATTTCTCCATGAGGAGCGCTGGCAGGATGGTGGGTGAGCTGGGAGTAGGAAGCCATGGGAATCAGGAGCCACACTGCTATGTTTCTGATTCTCCCTTAGCTAGAGATGGGAAGAACTAGGGTCAAGAGAAAGGAAGAAGATCCATACCCTTTCAACCTTGGCTTCTACCACAGGCCAATACAAACCAGGTATCGCCCACCGAGATCTGAGCAGCAAGAATGTGCTCATTCGGGAGGATGGGTCGTGTGCCATTGGAGACCTGGGCCTTGCCTTGGTGCTCCCTGGCCTCACCCAGCCTCCCACCTGGGCCCCAACTCAACCCCGAGGCCCAGCTGCCATCATGGAGGTGAGTACTCTGGATAAGGGTGAGGCCCAGAGATGATGGCAGTGTTCCTGACGAAGATGTGGCCTTTGCTGTGGCAGCAATGCGTCAGTACCTGTAGAGTTTGGGACATTGCTGAGTCTAGTTGGGGGGATGTCGCGCGTACCAGTGTTGCAGCGAGGCTTGCCAGTGAGATGATTCTTGGCCCTCCATGCCTTTCCCTCTAGGCTGGCACCCAGAGGTACATGGCACCAGAGCTCTTGGACAAGACTCTGGACCTACAAGACTGGGGCACGGCCCTCCGGCAAGCCGATGTTTACTCTCTGGCTCTGCTCCTATGGGAGATCTTGAGCCGCTGCCCAGATTTGTGGCCTGGTAAGGATGAGTGTGACAGTGCCCCCTCTCCCCTCCTCTCCATGTCTCACTTGCCCATTCTAGATCCACTTGCCTCCTGACGCAGGAAGCTCTGCCCTTCTCCCTCTCAGCCTTTCCACAAGGAGACACCCTAGGGCTAGCTGATACCTAGCCCCCTGTGCCTTTCCCCAGACAGCAGACCACCACCCTTCCAACTGGCCTATGAGGCAGAACTGGGCAGCACCCCTACCACCTGTGAGCTGTGGACCTTGGCCGTGGAGGAGAGAAGGCGCCCCTACATCCCATCCACCTGGCGCTGCTTCACCACAGTAAGAGGCCACCTGCTGGTGGGCTGGGGATCTGGAGGGTGTGGGTCTGGGCTTCAAGGACTTGACTACCAGGACCAGCCCATCTGCTCCTGTCTCCTCTCATCTGCCACCACTCCTGGCTCATGTTCAGCTGGAGCTGAGCAAACTTGCCCTGTACCTCAGCTCATCCTCTTCTACCATAAGTCTCACACAGCCATTCCTGAGACAGGCACCTTCCTCTTGCTCAGACTTGCTTGGTCTGTCTCTCTTGTCTTCACCATCCGTAAGCCCTGTGTCCCAGTCCCCTCCTCCAGGAAGCCTACCTTGGCCTTGCTTCTGCCCTGAGCTCTGCTCCCAAAATGGCTCCACTCCTGGCACCCAGGAGCCCAACACTCCATCCAAAAATTCCTCGCCCAGTCCTACACATCTGGGTTTCTACCATGACCCAATAAAAGCCAGCCCTGGGTATAAAGGGTTAAAATAGTGGCCAAATGGTGAAATTGCAGGGTCTGTATAAATAGTTTCCTAACAGGAAGCCCCTTTCCCTGCTACCTGGTCTGAAATTTCCACTGCACAAGTATCTGTTGGGTTAAGCAGTGTTTGCCTAAGACCCTGGTTGCCTGAAAGGAAGGAGAGTAATTTCCCATCAGTGTGTTAAGTCATTAACCTGAATTAGCTTCTCAGAGGAAAAGGTGGTCCCTCTGGAAGGCACCCAAAGAACCTGTCTCATAGGAAGCAAGATGCTGAGGGCTGGGTCTCATTTGGGGCCGGGGGAGGGAGGCTCCAGGGAGGGTCAGAAGAGGAGTGTTGAGAACAGGGTAGCGGTGGGCACCTTTCAACTCTGGGGCTGGTCAGGGGGCCACTCAGGATCCCGGGATTAAATTTGCCTCCCGGTCCTTCTTGCCAGGACCCTGGTGGCCTGAGAGAGCTGCTAGAGGACTGTTGGGATGCAGACCCAGAAGCACGGCTGACAGCTGAGTGTGTACAGCAGCGCCTGGCTGCCCTGGCCCGTCCTCAGGAGGCCCGCCCCTTCCCAGAGAGCTGCACCCACGACTGCCCACCTCTCTGCCCAGAAGACTGCCTCTCACCTCCTCCCCACTGCCATTCCCCCTTGTAGGCCTCCACTGAATGTCTGCTGCTTCAGCATTCAGCAAGGCCCTGGTGCCAGGAGTCCTCCTGTACCATCTCTCACCTGTAAATATGCAGGTTATGTATAACCTATGTACATGCAAACATAAATATGGTGATCAGATGCCTGTCTGCTCTGCCTCACCACTGCCTTTCCTACCTGCCGAATGCTTGGATCCTTCTGTGGCCATCTAGTACACTGCAGTCCTGACGAGTGACTAGGGGTGGGTGTGCACAGGAAGGAGACGAAGTCAGCATTATCTCCATGTCCTGGGGCCTTCCTTCATGTGATCCTGGGGCTCCTCCTGTCTGTTGTCTTTTCTTTCTCTTCCCCAAGCCTTTATTTGGTGGGATCGCATGGCAGAGCACTGGGGAAAAAAGGGGTGGATGTGATGAAATCAAATCGCTGCTCTGAAGGTGCTCAGAGAGGCACAGCTCACTTTGTGGGGCCTGCACAGGGTCCTGGGGGTGTCCTCTCCTGAGGCTTGAGTGGGAAGACCTCACAGGGCACGGGAAGCTTGGGTTTTGAATGAGTGGTTTTCCAGGAGTGGTGAGGGCAGTAGGTGTCGTGTCATGTGGTGCAGTAAGAAACCACAAGGAACCTGGGGAGCAAAAGCGCAGGGTGTGTTGTGGAGAGAGAGAGGGGAGGTTATGTGGAGATTGTAGGCAAGACCTTGTGAGCTCTGCTGAGTTCTTCCTTCATTTCTTGTGTGCGTGTGTGTGTGTGTGTGTGTGTGTGTGATTTCTAGTGGCTTTTCTTTCCCACCCCAGACCCCATTCACACAGGGTGCCCTTCAGGGACATGTTACAATGGGTGCCGGGTTTATAGCACTAGTCCATTTTTTTTATTTTTTAAATTTTTTTTAATGTTTATTCATTTCCTGAGAGAGAGAGAGAGAGAGAGAGAGAGTGAGCAGGGGAGGGACAGAGAGAGAGGGAGACACAGAATCCGAAGCAGGCTCCAGGCTCTGAGCTGCCAGCACAGAGCCTGATGCAGGGCTCAAACGCATGAACCATGAGATCATGACCTGATCTTCTTCTTTTTTTTTTTTAACTTTATTTAAGTAAGCTCTATACTCAGTGTGGGGCTGGAACTCATGACCTCAAGATCAAGAGTTGCATGCTCCTTCAACTAAGCCAGCCAGGAGCCCCCTTAGTTTAGTTTCTAACTACCTGAGTGCACTTGGGCAAGTTATTTTCTCTTTCTAGGCCTCAAGTTTCTCACTTGCCAAATCAGGGGGTTGAAGGCCTTCTGGTCTAACTCCAGTAGACGATTGGGACGGCTCTGACTTCACTACAACAGGATTGATTCCTGCTCAGTGACTGAGCCCTATGTCTTTGAGCAAGTTACTTAACCCTAGAATCTGTTTTATCATGTGTAAGGTATGGATAAAAATGCCCACCCTGATTGCAGAGTTGATTCAGGGTAAAAAAGAAGAGGTGACAGGTCCTGTGCAGCACCTGACCTCAGTGGACACTCTATAAATGGGAACAGTTGTGACTGAACATTGAGATGATCTCTCGTCCCTTTCTAGCTTGGTTGTTCTAGAGTTCCAGGATTTAGCCTGTGCAGAGCCTGTCCACTCTCAAGCCCTGAGACTTCACTTTCCTTCAGAACTCTAATTCTCTGCAAGACATCATCATGTGAACAGGCAGCCACCACCTGAAACCAAACACATCAAAATCCAAGATCCTGCTTCCCCCTCACCAGCTGGGCTGCCCTACCCTCTTCCCTGGCTCTCAAGAGCACCCCGTTTCTCTCTCCATCTCTCCCTCTCTTTTTTTAGTAATCTCTACACCCAATGTGGGGCTCAAACTTACGATCCTGAGATGAAGAGTCACATACTCTTTAAATTTTTTTTTTTTTATTTTATTTTAGAGAGAACAAACAAGGGAGAGGAGCAGAAGGAGACAGAGAGAGAATCTTAAGCAGGCTTGACTGACTTGGTTTTGGCTCAGGTTGTGATCTCGAGATTCATGGAATCAAGCCCCCTGTCAGGCTCTGTGCTGAGAGTACAGAGCCTGCTTTGGATTATCTCCCCCTCTCTCTACACTTCTCGTTCTCTCTCTCTCCCTCTCTCTCAAAATAAATAAATAAACTTTTAAAAATCTTAAATGAAAACGAGAACCAAAAACAAACAAAACAAACAAACAAACAAACAAACAAACAAAAGAAAGCCTAAGAAACTGTCACAACGAAGAGGAGCCTAAGGAGACATGACGACTAAATAAAATGTGATATCCTGGGTAAGATTCCAGAATAGGAAAAGGACACCAGGTGAGAACTAAATAAATCTGGATAAAGTATGGAGTTTAGTTAGTAATCATGAATCTGTACTGGATCATTACATTAAGGTAACAAACATACCATAATAATATAAGGTGTTAATAATAGGGGGCTGGGGTGAGGGATATGAAAACTCTGATTGCCTTCTCAATCGTTCTGTAAATCTAAAACTGCTCCCCGCAAAAGATAGCTTATTAAACAAAAGTATGACTATCTCCAAAACTCAGAGCGGCCACAAATACAAAGAACAATGGCAGGGTTGTTGTAAGCATGACAATGCACACTTGCGGTATTTTAGAGTAGGTGTGTTGTAATATGTTGTATTGAAGGGATCACTAACATAAAACCCAGAAAACTTAAGATGATAATCTTGGCTCTCCTAACTGTGAACTCTTAGAAATGTTTATTTGTTTAATTTTCTCAGCAAGGGGAGTGCATTATTCTCTAAGTCATTTACAATCCTATGATTCCCTACTTCTGTGATAAAATATTAGAGTCCCACTTGTGAAGATTACTTCGCTAAACCCAGTGTTTACCTCGTACGATACTGCTGATTAGTGACCCCATGCTCACAGAGATGCGTATTATGTCATGGAGATGCAATTTTGGGGGAATAATTGTATTCCTCACACCCAGTTCCCCCTATTATTAACATCTTACATTAGTATGGTATATTTGTTACCTTAATGATCCAATATAGCCTCGTGATTACGTGATTATTAACTAAACTCCATACTTTATAAGTACACTTTTTAGAGAGTTGAAAACATAAATCTCTGAACAGAGATGGGCTCATGGGAAGGAAGCTATGTGGCTGAAGACAGGGGCAGTGGTGGGTGAAAAAAAGACGGTTTTGTAACTATCCAACTTTTTTTTTTTTTTTTTTTTTACCTCTTGGATTTTGAACTATTTGCATGTTCTATTAAAATTGTTTACTTAAAAAGTTCATGCCAGAGAAAAAGGAAATATGCCAAAGTATTAATAGTAGCAATTCTGGGGGCGCCTGGGTGGCTCAGTCGGTTAAGCGTCCGACTTCAGCTCAGGTCACGATCTCGCGGTCCGTGAGTTCGAGCCCCGTGTTGGGCTCTGGGCTGATGGCTCAGAGCCTGGAGCCTCTTTCCGATTCTGTGTCTCCCTCTCTCTCTGCCCCTCCCCCGTTCATACTCTGTCTCTCTCTGTCTCAAAAATAAATAAACGTTAAAAAAAAGTAAAAAAAAAAATAGTAGCGATTCTGTTTGGGTAATGGGACCTCAAAAACAATTTTCTTTTTCTTTCTGCTTTTCTGTTTTCCAAATTTTCTTTAATTCTCATGAATTACTTATAGAATTTATTGAAAGCACGTAAACAAATTATCATCAGGAAACATTCCTTGAAAAGCTACATGTGACTTTACATTGTCTCCCTTTGGTACTTAGGAACACAATTTGTAGCATATTTTGTGCCTATTGTTATGTTGTTTGCTGAAATTATTTCATATGTGAGCATCACATTCTCACCTAGACTGTAACTGAGAGCATAGAGGGTGTGGAGGAACATAGTTTATACTCCTTCTGGTTCCTTTATAGCACTCAGTTCAGGACTCTGCATACGGCCTGGGGGACTGGATAGAGTCCCGAATTCCTGACCTGAATTTGTTACTAACAAGGCTGAAGCCTGCACTAAACCATTTCTGCTTTCTGAGCTTGTTTTTCCTCATCTGTGCAAGGAGGGTGTCGTTCACTTTTGATGTGCTAAATTTCTTTTCAATAAATGCTTTTTGACCAACAGACCTAGTAGGAAAAAGATAAAGAGCCTATAGAGTAACACATATTGGGTTCTGGGATAAAGTTTTATGCCTTCGTCTACCTGCCATAGGCCTACCTGAAGTTCTTAGAAAGCAAGTGAAAGGTGTCTCATGCTGCTTGGCATTTCTATAGTGCCTACCTCGGGTCTAGGGAAATATCTACAAAATCTTCTATATCTTCAACCTCTTCTCTGAATGTCCTTTTCACTTTCTCCCACCCATGAAAATGAACCTTGCTTTTTCCCAGAGTGGTAGCTTTTTTCCTTTTGCATACTCTGGAGGACAGTAGATATTTTCCTTTCTGTCTGTGGTTGCCTCCAGATCATTTCTCCATCTTTCTCCTCCAAAAACCCAAGCATCTCTGAAATACATGCCATCAGGGGCAGCTGGGTGGCTCAGTTGGTTAAGCACCCAACTTCAGCTCAGGTCATGATGTCACTGCTCATGAGTTTGAGACCTGTCCCAGGCTCTGTGCTGTCAGCTCACAGCTCAGAGCCTGGAGCCTGCTTCAGATTCTGTCTCTGTCTCTCTGACCCTCCGCTGCTCATGCTCTGTGTCTCTCTCTCTAATATAAAAAATAAACATTAAAAAAATGATTTAAAAAAGTGAAATACATGCCATCAGACCACACCTTGCTACTTCACCTGTTGTGATCATTTACAGACCTCCTGGTCACTCCTCTGTATTTGTTGAACATTTCAGCAACTGGCTCAAAGTCTCTTTTTATCACTACTTTTATCATCATTCTATATACATTCTATACATCACTACTTTTATCATCATTCTATATACATTCTATACATCACTAGCAGATAAATCTATTTAATCCTTTCTTCTTTGACCTTTTCCTTCCAAGGAGATTTTCCTCCACCAAGAACTGTTTCAAGCATTCCACTTTCTGGATACCACCTTCTACCTATTCAGCTCACTCTAGAGAGCCTCCACTGAGACATACAATCCATTGGCCTGCCACTTTGTCACTGTCCATCACGTCCTTGTGTCTTTCCTTCCTTCTTCAGCTTATTTTCCATCATCTATCATCATAATCACTACC